GACTAGTCTCCCCCAGACTCTTGCGCTTAACACCTCTCCGGGAGGGTAAGCCCCCTCACCGCGCTGAGAGCGTTGTAGCGTGCTAACTTACCACCCGGTCTGGTCTGAGCTCGGGACCCTGGCCTGGACCCCGCTAGTGACCACCGAAGCGTTACCCCGGACAGAACGCTGCGAGTCTCCCCTGTGAGATCGCAGTATTACAAGGCTAGGCAGGGTTAGGGTTGGAGTGAGCATGAGACTCTACCTTCTACTGTCAAGGCATGTCATGCAACAATAAAGGAGAAGCAAACTCTTTGAAGGGATAACAGGCCGTAAAACGGCCTTTGTTAAAATTTCCCCTGCCCCCCCATCTTCCTCCGGGGGAAAGGAGGGCGACGTTGAGAGCGCTGCTCCTGGGACCCTTCACTCGTCCGTTCCGTAACAGGTGGCCTCGCAGGAGAATGCCGACCTGGGCCGCGTTGGCATAGCAGCGATCATGGAAAGACATCGTCGTTCTCTCCCGCTCAGAGGGAAGAAGCGGTCTGCTGCCTGGCCACAGGGAGGATGCGGGGAGCAGAGCCAGCCTAACCGCGTCCTCGATGTCTGGAACGCCTCCGGACCAGGACCACTTGTGGACGGAACAGTACGGGCCGTACCCCAGCGCTGAACGCCTGGCCCCCAGGGGTTTGGACCAGTCCCAGGTCGCGTAATGGAAGCCCGGGTCCATCCGCGGACAAAGCGTTGGCTCCAGACGCCTCCTTCCCCGGTCTGGACCTACCACCGAGGTGAAGTTTCTTGCTGTCATCATGGGATGCGGTGGGAGGGGGATTTCCATACGCCTGGAAGCAGAGTGAAAGAAGCGGGGTATGTGGTCGAGCGGGAAGCGGTCCTGCTCCTAAATCCACGACAGGGCTTCGTCCACAGTGACGAGGGAAGCCTCCCGGTCGCTCTGGTCGCTCTCCCCACTCCCGGGGCACCGGAGACAGGTCGTGAGGGGCCAGCGGCTCCGGAGACCCCGCCTCCCTGGGGGAGTCTGCGCGGGCCGCCGTGGTGCCAGCGAAAGCCTCGCGGCGTACCCTCTCTTCCCTGGGGAGAGAGAGGCACGCCCGGCAGTCAGCACTGGTTGCAGAGTGGCTCCAGCCCAGACAAAAGAAGCACCGGTCATGCTGGTCCCTGGAGCGAAGCCTCGCCATGCAGTTGCTGCATTTTCCGTCTGACGCCGGCAGGCGAAGGAGTCTTTGGACGAGAAATAGAAGGCAGCGACATAACGAATTCACTGGAAGTCCAAGTTGAAGAGTAAGTACTTGATCTCTCTGCGCCAGAGTTCAAAAGTGGCAGTACAGGCCTGAGGGGGGCTATTTATTTTATTTAGCTTGTTTGTGATTGGAGCATTGGATCTCTGATTTCTCTGGCGGAGGTTAGGTGCCTCAAGAATCATACCCATAGCGTAGCCCTAAGGGGCCCTAAGGGCCCTAAGGGGCACTATGACGTAGAATAGCCTATTATAGATCCAAGCTTATTGCAGAGCAGCCGGTTTTAAAGATGACGGGGTTGAGTTATTTTTACCATAGGGTTGGACGTCGCTTCCAGTGACGACACTCGCTGACCAATCAGTTTAAGGCAGTCGGCTGACATCACGTTATGGTGTAGCTTCGGTACGCTTGGAACCACTGTCGAGGTGGTACGAAAAAAGGTATCCTTATCTCAAGCCCAACCCTAGTGGAAATGCAAAATAACTGCGCCGTGCCGTACCGCACCAAACCGTTACTATGGAAAAGCGACATTATGTTCTCAGTTCTTCAAAATAGCCACCTTTTGCTCTGATTATTGCTTTGCACACTTGTGGCATTCTCTTGATGAGCTTCAAGAGTTAGTGACCTGAAATGGTCTTCCAACAGTATCGAAGGAGTTCCCAGAGATGCTTAGCACTTGTGGGCCCTTTCGCCTTCAGCTCACCCCAAAACCATCTGGATTGGGTTCAGGTCCGGTCACTGTGAAGGCCCAGCACCCCACCAGTCTTATTGGCCAAATAGCCCTTACCTAGCCGGAGTGTGAATCTACAGTCAATAGTCATGAAAAGAAAAGACACTCATTGAATTAGAAAGTGTGTCCAAACCTATGGTCTGTACCGTATAACTATATAAATATATATATATATATATATATATATATATATATACAATGACTGTTCTAATTATTTGGTTTTCTAATCTAATCTTGGAAAATCTACAATTTGATAAAGTTGTGATTTTGAGCTGCTGCACACAATACTTGATGTTGACCAAAAGTGCAGAATGTCCTTTCTGCCTCCTTCCACCAGTGTTGTCTTTCTGAGACCTTTGAGAAGTTTAACCATATTTTATATGGCGACGATTGGTTTTCTCTGGCAGATTCATTTTTTAATAAAGGCTAATGCTAAAGCTAATTTGCTAGTTAGCAAATAGGACACTAGAGGTTATCAAACAGTGACATTTTTATGAAGAAGAGGTGAGAAGAGGTTTATTCTTAAGAGAAGCAGAAGGGCATCAGTATTAGCACATACAAATGTTTGAGGAAGGTTTTGTCACAGTGCATCTGCGTCATTTATGGGAGAATTTGGACCAAATACAATTGCTTTTATTGAGTATTGGTTTGGAGGTTCTGTTTGAAGCAGAACTGCAGTAAAGAACTGCAAAGAAAAAGAAGGTTGTGATTCAGATACCAAAGAGTGGATCACAGAGAACAAGTAACAAAGAGAACAGAAAGTACATGGACCAAAGAGTTTTTTTTCGGGTCTTTATTGGATAACAGTTAGAGTTACAGTCACACCCACAGGCTGAAGGTACACATTTCCCACTACTTCTAAATACTTCATACAGCAGAATAAATTATACAATGGGAATATACAAACATGCCGAACAGAAGCACATCGAGGTCAGGGCAACTAAAAAACAGGCTAACATTGGAACGCACAAGGGGGGGAGCTTCAGAGGCTCCGCCCACACGGACCTGTTAGAAATGAAGACTCAGCTAGGCCTAGAATTCTGTGTATTTAAAATATTCACAAGTGAGGTGTAGCTTTTCCCACTTTTCATTGGTCCACGGAGCCAGCAGTGACGGCCAGTCAGAGCGATTTAAAGCAGGTCCATTGTCCATCGCTTTGGCGGCAACTGGTCCCAAAATCTCAAAATGGTGTCTGCCTCGTGGCATCTCAGCCTCAACTCAAATATACAGCAATCCTTCATGTCCATGAGGCTCTTCCCGTTAACTCTCTTCTGTACAATTGTATAGCAACAATTTCAATGAAATTAATACTTTTACTAGTTTATACAAAATGCTGCACTTGTCGCCTCAGCTCGGCCCAAAGAACAAAACCACAAACCAAAAGATTGTGTGAAAATACAGTGAAATCAATCCAACACAAGAGTAAGAATACAGCTCCTTTCTGATCCGTCGTCATGGTTCAGTTTTCTGTACAGTCGTCACAAACGTCCGATGTCTTTCCACAGACGTCACTGTAACATCTATATTTTATACATCCCTCTGAATGGGGAGGATTATAGGGAGCAGGTTCAGACGGAGGTTAAATGAAATGTTATAGTGAGAGGGAATGTTGCACTCTGGGCACTTTGCAGAAGTGGGAATGCTCCAAGTTCAGGAATGCCTCTGAATCTCTGCCATAGAATCCAGACCCTGCACTTTTACTGCAGTCGTTTTGTTCACTTTCACAAACGTATCCAGTTTTTTAGCCAATCGTAACATGAGGAATATCAGACAGAGGAGGTGTCAGAATGTGTGCAAGACTTTAACTGAATTAAAGGGGAGGTCTGATAAATAAGACTGTGAGACACTGTACTATTGTGCACAGTGAGTTTAACACATTTTAAACCAACCTTCCTCCTAGCAGAACCACCACCATTCAGATTTATTGGAGTAGAATTGTAAACCAATAACCAAAGGTCTCATTTTTGACTAATCAAGCTGAGCGTGGGCGGAGCTATCTTAAGTTGAAAGTAACTAACGTTAAGGAAATTAATTTACCATCAGAAGTGACTTTTATAACATAGCTCAGCGAGGTTATTGAAGTCTTATATCTCCCAAAGTGATGTGTTTAAACATCTTTAAAGTTGAAGAGAGAACTTTACGATTTCAGCTCATGCAGAGACCACCCTAAACACAAGATTTTCAAACAATTATAAGTCTATGGAATGTGATGGGTTTACCTCCATACACAGTGGTGGAAGGGGATTGGTCCGTTTGGATCTGGACACAGTGATGAAAGAGGATTGGTGGATATACTCCAGATTAAGATCAATGAAGAGGGTCACTGGTTGTTAGCGCCAATGTTACATTTAGCTAATTTAACACTGTTTAATGCACACAAGATTCCCAGTTTTTCTAGTATTTAGGATTGGGGGAGGGCAGACTAGCCCTCTTTGGCATGGTCCATATTTCCAATGCAAGCATACATTTTTATCCCAGTGTTTGGAAATAATGCCATTCTTCCCTAAGGATCATGGCTGAGGGTTAAAGAAAAGACAAAGCAAGCGTCAAGCCAAAAGCACTGCTTCAATCCCCAGGATGTTTGCAGCCAGACTTCCCACTGAGAAGACCAGGACTATAGGAATGTCAGGAGTGTTGGAAGGTCAAAGCGCTCGCAGAAGCTCAGGGAATGGGCTGAAGACGAGCAGCTTGAAAAACAATCATTTCGTATATTCAGATCCACTCAGCGCGCACTCGTTGGTCCCATTCTGTTATTTTTACACATAGACAAAACAGAGAAAAGAGCTACAAATGTGAATCAAAGAACAACGGAAATCACCATCAAAAAACAGCCATTTTATAACAATATTAAAAAGTGAAGGAGAGATTGGCTGTGAACAGCTGCTATAAACACAGTACAAGTGGAGCTCAGAGCGAGACACAGTCCAGGGCCAACTCCCCAGAAGGCGATGAGTCTGTGGGGTTTGTAAACGCTCCAGTGTCTGTGTTTCTGCAGAAGTCTGCGTTAAGTCTACGTTCAGTAGGCCCTCAGTTGGCCCTCAGTACGCCTGCCCTGTCTCCACCTGCAACAGACCCAGCACTGCCGAATGGTCGCCCAGCTTCATCCTCCGCTGAGTGGACAGACTCACGTTCTTGGCCAGGTAGTCAACCGCAGCTGCAGAACAGAGAAACATGGTTAGCCCTTACAGTAATGAGCTGAGTGAGCGTTGGTCCAACTTTCAAACACTGGAACTATGCCATAGACTGCAGGCTCTAAAACAATTGCTTCTATCACTAGTTTTCACGTCATGTATATCTTGCCTCTGCCCTGTCACATCTTTAGATCAGCGTTTTCAGTGAATAAAGAGAGGACAACCCTTACTCAGCTCTCAGCCCAAAGGGCTGAGTGAGGGTGACTCACAAGGCTCTTTCTGACACTTGAAGACAGCATGTTGTGTCTAATTTGTTCACAACAAAAAGACAAACTACATGTTCCGTTAGGTACAAAACAGTGGGGTATCTATCTCAAAGCAGTTGTAGAGGTGACATAACAGGACTCACAGTTTTATCAGCAATCACCCCCCTACACCTACAAAGTCTTTTCTGGCTACCTCCCACCCAACCCTTAACCCCCCTCTGGCCAGAGCTTCATCTAATCAAAGAAATTCCAGCATGCTTTCAACATGTACCATGTCTTCCCAAAGACAACTTGGGAAACATAATACATACAGTATGTTGAAATGTTAGTAACTGCTCTCTGCTGTTTCTAACTTTCTGTCAGCATGGTGTCAAGACGTGGCGCCGAGATCATGGTACCGAGATCTAGGGCCAAGATGTGGTGCTGAGACAAGAGCTGTGGTGTGTATTATCTGCTCTGGCTTATACACACAGGGGTACTCTTGCAGAGTAATTCAATCATGGTTTTACCGAAGATGGCAAATAAACTGTATCTGAATCTGTGATGATAAATCCGGTTTTGGATTATAATAATGTAAAGATGATCAGGTTCATTGCACATATAGAATCATGAGGGACTACGATATTATAGACCTGCACCGAGCTGAGTCTTCAGAACTAGACCTATAACAAAGAACCTGTAGGTGGGACTCTGATTGGCTCTTATTACTAGCAGCTGCCGTTGCTAACCGGTGGGCCTGACCCTGGACCTGCTCATGTGAGATCCCATTGGCTGTAGGACACATCACTAACCATCTCTCGCTTGTGCGTAACGCGGACAGGCAGGTGGCAGATTCCCCTTGACATGTGCCCCATTCATTCCCTCATCACCTTTGTGATTAAGGCTGAAATAAGTTGTGGCAGTCGCGAATCTCACACAAAGCCCCTCCCCCTCCACCCCTTGTCTGTAGTTGGCACGGCGATGGCACAACGTTGTCACGGCGCTGTCACTCTCGTAGGTCGCCGTGTGCTCCGGGACGCGCCAGTCTTCATTAAACCTGGCATCTCGCATTTCACGGCCTCCGCCACACAGACCAGCATCTCAGCGGTAGACAGCAGCTCTCTCTTGCTCCCCCTGTCTCCCTCGCTTTCCCTCCCCCCACTCTCTCTCTATCCATCATTTATTACACATCCACTGTCCTCAATCAGCGTCTCAATTAACCTGACTTCAGATCACATCCGCCGGCGTAACACACACACACACACACACACACACACACACAGACACACACATAGTGATAGAAGCGACAGCTCTAAAACTGTTGCTTCGATCACTAGTTTTCACATCATGTATTTCTGGCCTCTGTCACGTTAGATGAGCTTTTTCAGACAGAAAAGTGAAAAGCCAATCAGCTCTCAGCCCAAAGAGTCAGATGGTGACTCACAGGACTTTTTCTTACAAGGTGATTGTGGTCTGAATTATTTACATTTTACTTTTAAAAGGGTCTTTCTGTTGGACAAATAACATTATTATTGTGGCCATACATGTATGTGAAAGCCAGATCCCATTAGACCTGAAGTTGTTCATTCACCACCGGGTATGGAGTGAATGAATAATGACATGTGAAGCATCTTTGAATGTCCTGAAAAGCGCTATTAAAAAAAATATATTTTTACAATAATTGTGTAAAGTTTGGTGCCTGAGCTTATATTGTTTTTTTCAGTTGGTATACTTTATAAAACTACACATGTGTTAGATACAAAATCTCTGCATATAGTATATTCATCACTTGTGCTTCCCTATCTGTCTTACTGCTCAGAAATTTGTGGAACCACTTATAAAACACATATAGATCCTATAATTAAAATACAAAAAAGGGCAGCACGTTTAATAAATAAAGTGGGTTATCGTGACTCTACTAATCAACTTTTCATAAAACATAACATGCTAAAATGTATTCGTTGAGTTGTAAAAAACAAAGATATTCCTGCAGGTGTTCAATCTTTCTTCAAATTAAGAAAAAGTCGCTATAATCTGTGAGGTTTTCTTCAGTTGGAAACAAGAAAATCCAGAACTAAAGTTAAAAATAGATGTGTGTCTGTCATTGGAGTAAAAATGTGGAATGATCTTAATGACCACCTTAAGTTAATTAATACATAATCAATAAACAAAGTGTCCTACCACAATTACGCCGACGACACTCAGATCTATGTCTCACTGACTGCAGGAGAACATGGACCACTGGATTTGCTCCTTCACTGTATCCAACAGATCAGTGACTGGATGCAAAATAATTTCCTCCAGCTAAATACAGACAAAACCGAAATCATTGTCTTTGGTCCCCAGAAACAAAGAGAGGGCGTCATTTGTCAACTTCAGTCTCTCTCCCTACTTCCTTCAGACAAGGTCAGAAATTTGGGGGTAATACTGGACTCAGACCTAAATTTCAATAGCCACATAAAATCAATAACATCAACAGCTTTTTACCATCTGAAGAACATTGCCAAAGTTAGAAATATAGTGTCCAGGGCAGACTTGGAGATTCTTGTCCATGCATTTGTCTCCAGCAGGCTAGACTACTGCAATGGCCTGCTTACAGGTCTGTCCAAACAGACCTGTAAGCAGCTGCAGTACATCCAAAATGCAGCAGCTAGAGTCCTGACAGGAACCAGGAAGTATGACCATATTAGTCCGGTCCTCAGGTCTCTGCACTGGCTTCCTGTGGCTCAAAGAATAGATTTTAAAACGGCTCTGCTTGTGTACAAGTCTCTCCATGGCCTTGCACCAGAATACATTAGTGACATGTTGGTGTCATATGAACCGGCCCGGACTCTGAGGAGCACAGGGACTGGCCTCCTGCTGGTGCCCAGAGTGAGAACCAAACATGGGGAGGCTGCGTTTCAGATCCATGCAGCTAAGATCTGGAACAATCTCCCTGAAAATGTGAGGGAGGCGTCTACTCTGTCAATGTTCAAATCCAGGTTAAAGACTGTTCTGTTTGCCTGTGCATACAACTGAAGGATTTTATCTCCATTTCTAATGCACTGCTGTCATTTTTTTTTTTTTTTCTTGTGTAATTTTGAAAGTTTTAATGGTTTTATTCTTTTGTGTGATTTTAATGTTTTAATTGTGTTTTAATCTTTTGTGTGATTTTAATGTTTTAATTGTGATTCTGGTGTTTGTTTTATGTGATGATTTGTGATGTGTGTGTGACTGTGAAGCGCTTTGTGTTGCCCTGTGTATGAAAGGCGCTCTACAAATAAACTTTGATTGATTGATTGATTTAAAACTACCTTAAAATGTGAAATAATGAATTCATATCCCTTGCCTTAAAAGTAATGATAATAATTATTAAAACATAACTAATAAAGAAAAGTGAACAAAAATACATTGTTCTAGCAAATATGCATTTTATGTTTTAAATTTTTGTTTTTGTTTACATATTTGCTGTGTTTAAGTAGCTAATGACCTGTATGTGACGTCAGGTTGGGCTCACATAAGCAAGCTGCTTCAACCCAATCCTATTTTTGGTTGTAATATATTCAGTGATTGTGATATGTTATTAATCAAACAACCGACCAAAAATAAAAATTCATTCATTCATTCATTCATTCTTCACAGAAAAATGTGTCCTTTGCATTTGACCTATCTTTCACTCGGGCATATGTCAGGAGCAAGTCTGCACCCGGTGCCCAGGTCCTGGAGCCATCACTCTTTCTATCTAAGGTGGAGGATAGAGATATTTACTCTATGTTTATAGGGTGAAAGGATATGGATTTATGGCTCTCTTCCTGAATCCAACCACAGACTGGAGGCTGAACGTGTGCTTCCTCTTACCTCTCTGACAGCATCAGTCACTTATGCTAATCAAATAAAAGCGCTCTTTCCTGTCCCGCGGCTGTGTGTGTGGATAGAGGTGGGACACAGGACACAGGGGCCCCTCTGGCGGTCTCTTCTCCTTTGAAGTGTCTGAGTCTGTCCTGAGTCTGGGAGAGGGGTGTGGCCCTCAGAGCCATGGAGCAGGGGCCAATGGGACGGTCTGATCAACAGCACGTGTCTCTCCTCAGGAAACAGTGCAAGGGTCAAGTGGAGATTCCTTACAAATGGACCACACTTTGGATGGAGACGACAGAGATTTTGTGCTGAGGCTGTCATGGTCTTGGCCTCGGTCTCAGCCTCTGTCTTGGCCCCGGCCTCTGTCTCCTAAAATTCCTCTTGTGTTGTATTGAGGCCTACAGAGACAAAGACCAGAGACAGGGCTTTGCTGTGCTTCGCTTTCACATAGTGCTGCTTCCAACAGTTATCACTTTCCCCTCAATGTTATTGTTCTCAGAAGGACAAAGCAGACATATAGGATGCAGCAGACGCTCAGGGCCCTGGTATGTTGCCCTGGTATAAAACCATGCAAATGCTATATTTGTTCTTCTGCTGAGAGACAATCCCTTCAACAAACTTCCTAATGTGGTCTGTAGAGCAGAGTGCATGTGTGTGGTCTAAAGAGATGTGATAGTTATTCATAGTCCCTACGGTAGAGCAGAGTACATGTGGCCTGTGGTCTAAAGTGGATTTGATAGTTACTCACTCTGTCCGTACTGGCTGTACTGATAGCCAGCAGTGACCGGGTCCACGCTGTAGCTGGTGGCGCTGTAGGTGGGCGGGCAGTAGGACTGGGACGAGGCCAAAGAGTCCTTGATGCTGTCGGAGCGCTGGCTGCAGCTAGCTGAGATGGCGTTGGAGCTGTCCAGACTTCCATGGAGCGGCGAGATGGAGAAGTCATGCTGTCCCTGGGACTGCACTGCGCTGGGGTTACTCAGGATGCTCATCACCTGCACACAAGAGGTGGCTGTCAGTAAAACTGGGGTATTTATTCTTCAGAAATATCACATGGCGTTTGTCTCAACAGAAAGACACACAGCTGTTTCCACAGCTGTTTCCACAGTCAGACCCCAGCTAGATCCAGTCAGAATCCCAGAAGAGACAGTTTCTGCAGGTGAAGAGGTGGTAAAGCAGCAGTGGTTTCAACAGAGAGGATTCTAACATAAAGAAGAAAACGTGATGTATAAGTTATATATAGTATATAGACGTCATGAGATAACACTACTACTACTACTATGGGAATAAGATAGCTATAAGTGATCTGGCCCTGTGTAGGTCACAATGACTGTGTATCTGCTAGGATTGTGTATCCATGTTATGACTAATATTTTCTAAAAAGGCATTAAGATTGTTTCGTAATGCCTTTTGATGTGTGATGTAACGTTTACTATATAGAGCTTGACCTGACTTTGTTCTTTTAAAAAAAAACTGAAAGAAACTAAGAATAAACTTCCAGGTGCCTCTGGTGCGTAAAGATCCCATCTCTGTGATATTGCTTCTTGTGCCACACAACAATGAAACTAAAGCTGGTTAGCTGGGACACCTAAAAAGCTGGTCTGAAGATGCCAGAATACGGCAGTCTCCAATTCATGTCATAAGTGAAAACTAGTGATAGAAACAAACTGTTCTAGAGCCTCCTCCTCTCTCCTTCTCCTCTCTCCTCGTCCTCTCTCCTCCTCTTCCTTCCTCTTCCGCTCTCAGCCGCTCTCCCTGACGTTTGTGGCTGATGGGAACTGAGGGTGTTATATTTGGTAAATTGAGGATCAAAGCTCCAACAGAGCGGTGGGAAAGTAGGTTTTCATTGCAGATACAGCAGCCGTCCCAGCTCTTCACGCTCAAAGACCAATACAAATACACAATTTCAACTTTGAAATAGGGAAACTTCCACATCATTTTTTTCCCAAGTGCAGGGGGAGGAAGGATGGCACAAGGACAGAGCGCTGACGGGTGACCAGGGAAAAGAGGAGAATTTGAACAAGAGAGGCTGTTCTCTGGGAAAGAGGGGTCCCATGGCGATAATAGACTCACCACTGGTGCCAGACAGCCCCCCCATCCCAAACCTAAAGGCCTGAGCTGCAGCCTACAGCACAACAAGCACCGAGGGAGTCCCTAATCCTGCGCCCCGAGCCTGCCCATCTCATGAATAGTAATGGTGTTGGAGCGGGTAAGTGATCCCCTCAGATCCACACACAGAGTCCAGGCTCGGTGAACCCGCCGAGAGAGCAGGTTACAGACCCATGCCTCATATTACACTGCAGCAGAAAGCCTCCCATTCAATATTCCAGATTATTGTAATAACTTGTGACACTGGTCCGAAGAAGGGTTCAGAATGTGTTGAGGCGACGGTATAAGCACAAATGTCCCTCTGTCACGGTGCCAACCCCTCCCCTCCGCGGCAACAATAACATTTCAACCATTTCTGATTGTGTTTGAATCATGCAAAACTGGACCTATTCACCAGCATTATATCAACTTTACAGCTTAACCACATTTATATACAGAGGCTTCTCCCCCAATGTAACTGCACCACTACAATATATGCTCTTCATTTTACATCTTTTTTCTATATTCGCTGTATAATCAATGCTGCAAGCCCTAGAAATGGCTCCTGTGAGCGACCAGAGCATCAGTCAGTCTGTAGAGAAGATAGACTAGAACTCTGTTTAAATACAATATCGACCTATATCATAAGAGCCGTTGTCTCTGAGAACTTGACAAAGTTGTGGATTCACCGACAACAGATCAGTGAATCAATCAATTTGACTCTCCCGTTGTCATTTAAACTGTAGTTTTTCAGAAATGTGATGTGAAACAGATGAAGACTTCACGAGGGACAGAGGACGACATCAGAAATAGAAATACTTTACAAATATGTAAGTGAAATCTTGCAAGATAACTGTTTAACGTGCTTCAGGAGCTAAATCTATGGTTTTCCTGACACCATCACTATAGCTATAACATTAATATGCATACAAGACATGTGTATATATAAATATATATTCATATAAACACACACACACATATATATCTATATATATATTGTGCAGTTTCTTGCCGCCGCACATTCCCAGTCTGTATACTGCTGCTTTGTGGATGCTCAGAGCCCGGCCTGCGTTTACACACTCCGTTAGCTGGAGTGAAAGGGGAAGTGGGGGTCGATAAAAGGCGATTGTCCTCCGCACCACATGGTTCTCACTCCTCTCAACATCAGGTTCATGTTGAGTTTCGCCATGGCGCACTGACCCTTGACCTCTGGGCTGCTAAACCAATTAGCACACAGCCGGTAACCGTTAGCTCGTACAGCGCGCTCCTGATCTATCCACAGAGGGACATCAACTCTTCAATAAATGAATCTAAAGCATGGGATGTTTATCATAAAGGCATTTCCACATGTTCAGTCTATCAGTGTGGAATCCCCCTCGCTGTGGGGGTATGTGCGCTCTGAGCATGTGACTCTGCATCAGCCGGAGATTCATAGAACCAGGAACAAGGAGCCGGTCTGAGAAGGACCAGGAGGAACCTCTGATATAAGAATTAACGCTGGGAGACCTAACCTGCCTGTTATACATGCAACATGTCTCTTCATCTTATTACAACCACATTTATATGTAAGAAAGAGCTCTGAGAGTCACTGTTTGACTCTTTAGGTTGAGAGCTTATTGGCTGAGAGCTTATAATGTGATATAATGAGTGATCCGCAAAACTCCCTTTGCGATTTCTCTCTCTGCTGCTGTCATGTGACCTCCTCCTCTGTCATGTGACCCTCTCCTCTGTCATGTGACCCCCTCTTCTGTCATGTGAGCCTCTCCTCTGTCATGTGACCCTCTCCTCTGTCATGTGACCCCCTCTTCTGTCATGTGACGCTCTCCTCTGTCATGTGACCTCCTCCTCTGTCATGTGACCTCCTCCTCTGTCATGTGACCTCCTCCTCTGTCATGTGATGTCTCCGGGGCAGAAGTCCATTTTGGTCCTGGATTAACGAGGAAATGATCAGATTATTCCCACAGAAAATAGAACTAATTAAAGTCCAGGCTCCAGTTCCTCAACAGAGTCTTATCGCGGAGACTTTGTTCCCTGAGGAGTCTGCTCACTGGGAGAAGGGCTCTGTCTCACAGGTTCAGACGTTTACTCCTTGGCTGCATGATCTGGAATATACTTTGACTCTTATTATAGTTTTACTCTTGCTATTGTATGTGGGTTTATAGCAAGAGAAAATATATCTGTCTTTTGACAAAGACAGTGATTATGTAAAGTTTATACATGTTTTATAGATGTTTATACTCTAATTGGAGTTATAGCGTTAGTAACTGTCTTTAGCTCATCAGTAAACATGTTCTTTTCACTAGATCCTTGTGGGTCACTTCTGACTCTGTAGTCTGTTAGCTGATTGGCTGAGTGAGGGTGGTCCTCTCTTTGTCACTTTGATGTGACAGAGACCACAAGTGAAGACACAAGTATACACAGAGAGTTGGACCATGTAGTTTGAAAATCAACTTTAAAAAGTCAAAACATGTCATTATAATTAAATATATTTTATACAAACAACAGCTACAGCAGCAGTAGCAACTGCAGCGGCACCACCACTTCCTCCACCCTCTCCCCCTCCACCTCTTCTACCTCCTCCTCCACACTTCTCTGTTGTGCTGAGGCAGAGTGTAGAGTGGAGATAATTGAAGCCAGTCCCAGTTTAAAGCCCCCAAGCCCTCAGGCCCTTCCCCAGCACTGACTACTGCCCATAGATGACTATAAATAATAATAAAAAAGTAATTAATTCTGAGAGTTCAGAGCGGCGGCCTGCGGCTGAGCGCGGCGTGTGAATGATACAATGTGCATCCTTTTAGATAAACAAACAGAGACAGAAGAGGTCTCTTCAATCCGCCCCAACTCTGCAAACGACAAATGTATTTTTGTGTCTGAGCCAATGTTCACAACTGTGTCTTTGTGACACTGCAGAGAACAATAAGCGAAAAGACAAAGACAGAGGCAGAGACAGAGGCATGGGCATGGGCAGAGACAGAGACAGAGACAAAAACAGAGGCAGAGACAGAGACAGAGACAAAAACAGAGGCAGAGACAGAGACAGAGAAAAAAACAGAGGCAGTGGCAGAGACAGAGGCAGTGGCAGAGACAGAGGCAGAGGCAGAGACAGAGACAGAGACAGATGCAGAGACAGAGGCAGAGGCAGAGACAGAGGTAGAGACAGATGCAGAGACAGAGGCAGTGGCAGATGCAGAGGCAGAGACAGAGGCAGAGACAGATGCAGAGACAGAGGCAGAGACAGATGCAGAGACAGAGGCAGAGGCAGAGACAGAGACAGAGGTAGAGACAGACGTAGAGACAGAGGTAGACACAGAGGTAGAGACAGAGGTAGACACAGAGGCAGAGACAGATGCAGAGACAGAGGCAGAGACAGAGGTAGAGACAGAGGCAGAGACAGATGCAGAGACAGACGTAGAGACAGAGGTAGAGACAGAGGCAGAGGCAGAGTCAGATGCATAGACAGAGGCAGAGACAGATGCAGAGACAGATGCATAAACAGAGGCAGAGACAGATGCAGAGACAGAGGCAGAGACAGATGCAGAGGCAGAGGCAGAGACAGAGGTAGAGACAGAGGTAGACACAGAGGCAGAGACAGAGGTAGAGACAGAGGCAGAGACAGATGCAGAGACAGAGGTAGAGACAGAGGTAGAGACAGAGGCAGAGGCAGAGACAGATGCATAGACAGAGGCAGAGACAGATGCAGAGACAGATGCATAGACAGAGGCAGAGACAGATGCAGAGACAGAGGCAGAGACAGATGCAGAGGCAGAGAGACAGAGGTAGAGACAGAGGTAGAGACAGAGACAGAGGCAGAGACAGAGACAGATGCATAGACAGAGGCAGAGACAGACGTAGAGACAGAGACAGATGCAGAGGCAGAGACAGATGCAGAGGCAGAGACAGAGGTAGA